TGATTACTCTAATTCAGAAAGTAGGCAAATAAAAACGTCAAGAATTCCACTGTTGTGAAGCCATTTTACGACTCATTCTCATCGATAAATCAATGGAATGAAATGTCTCGATTTTGGTCCTTAAATATGAAATTGTCCGACTTTTCGGCAACTTTCTAGCCAAATTCATTGTTGTTTATTTGTTTTCTTTTTTCTGACAACGAGATATTGTTTGTCACATTTCATATTGACATGAGTTTCCGAAATCTCCAACAAAATCTCTTATCTTCTATTGAAAAATGGTTGTGATGAGACCCAAGTAGAACGTTTATTAAGCAAAAATAACGAAAGAAAACACACAGAAACGAAAACGATACAACCTGAAAATATGATTTTTGGCACACTTGCGAACAAATTTATGCAACATACCATTTGAAAATATGGAATCAATCATTCATGAATAATAATGGCAACTCAGCTTACTCAGCTTAGAACAATCAAGCTTGGAACTCAGCTTAGAACAATCAAGAGGTTCACTTGAAACAGAATCAAAGATTCAAAAAGTGCCTTCAAAAAATTTCGTATCCAAAGAAAATCCTCATTCCACTGCCTCTATATGCTTCATGAATTCATTGTCACGCATAAAACAATTAAAACGTATATTAACAAGGATGGTCATATCAAAAGATGAATAAAAAAATATCAGAGGTCCTGATGGTGATAATATCATTCGAGATGTTCGCCTTTTCGGAGTTCATGTGAAAGGAACCCTGACTTTGGCCATGGCTCTCTTCGTCCACTTCAACTTACTTTCCGTGTACGGTGGATAGCGCATCCTAAAACAAAAAAAAACTGCTTTACTATTATTAAAGGAATTTGCTTCTGTTATGCTCTATCTTCTATGTAAACTGAGATTGGACATTTTGGCGTCAGCCATTCTAGACGTTTCGATGTGGCAATATTTCGCGATAGCCAACAAACTCGATCATTTCACTAGAAAATGAGATAAGTTGCTCCAGTTGATTGACATCTTTGGGAATTTCTAAAGGTGAAATTGGTGACGCCAAAACACCGAACATATTTTGAACGGTTTGTTCCGTGTAAGTGATTTGGAAGCCATAATTAATAGTTACTACAACAATGACAATTATGAGTTCAGTTGAATTACAAACACATTTTTAGGAGATAATAAGCGGAAAATGTTTTGGTTACAAAAAGTCAACAAGAATCAAGCATTGACCGTAGAGAATACTTGTGAAGCGTTGGTATACACAACAAATGAGAGTACGAAAAGTTTTTCTGCGTTGAAATTAGAGTAAGATGCGGAATTTATTAATGGGTAGCATTATTTCTAGTGTTTATTGTTTATAGGCTAGCGAGCGAAAATTTGAAGCAAACTGGCCAGATAGGGATTTAGAAAATACTAACGGGAGATCATTTATAGCGAGTGGACAACTGAAAGGAATTCTTTTATTATAACTGCAGAGGGAATAATGGTGAATAATAATTGTACTGAATGCTGTGGTTTTTGTGACAGCTGTCATTCACGATGAGTGCTTACAAGGGAATTTAATGGAGTGATGCACTTTGAGAACTAATTCAGCTTAATGACCATCAGTATGCTTTTAGACTATCAACTCTCTTATGAACTGTTCACACTGTTGAGGTTTTTCACTGTTCACTATTTCCAACTCCATTTTCGCTATCATTTTAGCGTGATATCTTCGAGGTAATTCAGCTTATTCAAAAGCAATACAAACTGTATTGCTCATAACTCGAACCAGAGCCAGACAAACATCAGATGTTTCGTTTCCAAACGGCCCTATACGAATTTGTTATGAGACTCATCATTAAAATCATCAATCTCAAATACATTCTAAAACATACCA